ATTTACAACGTAGATATCACAAGATATGACGCTGTGGTGTCTAATGTGGCACTTTAGAGTTTGTGTGTTTGTGTTTTAGAACAGCAAAGAATCGAGTGACTGGCCTGAATGATGGATTTCTTCTTCACAACAGCTTCCTGCTGAAATAATGGTGCCACGTCTTCTTTCAGATTCTGAGACACTAATGAATTCATGAATTTAAGCTCTTGTGGGCAAACTGTGATCGTTGCTGTAAAAACACAGATCGAGACGTCAAAACATAATCTTCCACAAAACATTGTCGGGCTCATGACTGCTGTCTGCTTCCATGTTTCCTTCAACGTGAGCAACAATGACGGAGAAACATGTTTTGTTACAGTACATATCAACACACACAGTTCAGACACACATTTCATCAGTATTTATTCACTTTCACAGGAACATCTTCTCACCATTTTATTTAAAGACATTTCTTTTGAATAACACAACTCAGCAGCAGCACACGATACGACCTTCACACCACTGGATCTCATACAGCAGATCTGAATAGATCTGGAAGGACATTGATGCATGAATATGCATTATGATGATGTCGTGCAGCTTGTTTGACCTTCTCTTGTGTGTTACGTTCCTGGGTGAGGAACCAGGGGAGGAGGGGAAGTAACGAAAATAAATAGTTTCCAGAGAGGAAAGAAAGACCAGGGAGCAGAACAATGTGTGAGGAAAACCAAAGAATTTTATTATTAAACTAATCGCTACGGAAACACCAGAGGTACAAAAACACAAATGTGCAGCAATGTAAATAAGAATAACTCCTAAAAGTCACAAACACTCAACAGACTCATTAAATAATAAACCAAATTTAAATTTACAAATACAAATTATAATATATAGAATTACTAAAGTGTGTTTTTATGTTGTGATCTGTATAAAGAGTGCTCACAGCTGTTGGCTCTTTTCTTCAGGTTCTTGTGAATGACTTCTTCCTGGTCGCTTGCCTCGAGGACTTCATCGAGAACGCCCGTCTGTTCATCTTCGAGACCTTTTGTCGAATTCATCAGTGCATCAGCATCAGGTGCGTCGCCTTTGAAACAGCTGTTCTGATCAGAAACTGCCTTTATCTCTGAGAGGACAGTTTCCTTTAGAAGATGAAGAGATGTTTGAATCTAATGTTTGAATCCAATGTTTGAATCTAATGTTTAAATCTAATGTACCCACATTATCAATGTTGTGCAATAATTTACTGGATTTTTGGATTTTATTCATTTCCTCCTCATTTTTTTTCATGTGTAGTGAACAGTGAACTTTAAAAAGGAGCTTTGAAGGCTTTAGATTCCCCCAAAGGATATTTACTTAACTGAACCCCCCCCCCTCCTCCTCCCTCGCTCTCTCTTTTCCCAGCATGCTGGCAGACAAGCTCAACATGACGCCCGAGGAGGCGGAGAGGTGGATCGTCAACCTCATCCGTAACGCCAGACTCGACGCCAAGATCGACTCCAAACTGGTGTGTTCACTGATCCACCTTCACTCATCACTGATCCCATCATAAACAGCTCAGACTGGACCGTTAATCTGTGTAGTAATGCACTGTCTGCTGCTGTCAGGCTGAGGACAGAGTATGAAACCTCAGGATCAGCGATATGTTTTTGTGCAACTTTAAAGTCCGTCTGTCAGATGAATGAATTATTGAAATTTGTCTCTCAGGGTCACGTGGTGATGGGAAACAACGCGGTGTCGCCGTACCAGCAGGTGATAGAGAAAACCAAGAGTCTGTCCTTCCGCAGCCAGATGTTGGCGATGAACATAGAGAAGAGGTTGGCCCACAGCAACAGGAACGAGGTACAATCCATAATCAATACTGAGCATTAAACACAGATCATCCATCAGTAGGAGGGAAAGAAACATACAATAAATCATTCTGTTTTTTGAGCTTTCTTTATAAACATCCAGCTGGGTTACAGGTTACACATCCATAGGCTGGTTGTCATAGCAACCAGTTCACCAGTTTACCTGTGTGACAAACGTAAAGCAGCTGCTCAGTGAAACTACAGTGGTGCGTCGCTTTAACTGTTGCTGCAGCAAGGAATTGTGGGACGGCATTTGTCCTTTCCTTTCGTAAAGGAAGCTCCAGTGTTTCCTAAAGGAGATGAGAGAGGAAGCGTTGAATTGGACCAGCTCTGATCATGGCTGCCGCTCAGATGCTTCCGGGTCATTTCACTGAGTTAGGAACCTTCCTAAGAAAACAACCGTTTGACCGCAGCCCCAGTGAAGCACACGGGCCAGCCTTTATAGCCTGGAAGGTTCATCAGCTGACGACTCGATCACCTGCTGAGTTTGGCCAGGACGACCTCCCTGACAGTGGGAGGGGTGTCACATGATTAGCACTCTTCCTGCTCCTCACCTGTCATGTCTGTGTTGAGACCTCAGTCCTCAGTCCTGCTGCCCTCTGATGGATCCATGTGAAAACACACTCAGAGATCTCTTCTTCTTCCCTCTGATTACAGCTGAGGTTCAGCTCATAAGATTTGTAGTAAAGTGTCTGTAACATGAAACCACAAAGTTAAAATCCTGATTTTAATTTAAGTCATTTCCCTGTAACATAAAATATGAAGTTAAGTCTGAACACTCATATTTTGTCTTTGTCCTGTCACTCGGTGTGAGACGGAGGCTGGCAGCTGTTTTCAGTTGATCGATGTCTAATTATGGATCACGTCTCTTATTTCCTTTATCGAGTAGTTTGATTGTTTATTCTAACTCTTCTTCTAATGTTTGTTATTTTGTCATTTCCTCAGACACCGAACTGGGCCGCTCAAGACTCTGGCTTCTACTGAAATGGAAATCAGAATCAAGAGGATGCAGAAGACCCTTGGGATATTATCAAAGCTTTTTATTGTGTTCATTAATTTATTTATTTATTATAATCATACAACATGCAGTTTAACCTCTGCAGTAAGAAACAGGAGGAGGAAGCAGCAGCTATGCTTTATTAACTTATTGTCACTCATGATACCTCATTCACATTTAGTGTTTTGTGACTATTTTCCTCATCAGAATCTATAGGAAATCTGGAGTTGGTTTGATCATCAAGCACCTTGGAAACAGATCCAACATAATTTAACATTAAATATATTTTGCCTCTTAAAAAGAAAGTGATTTGTTTCTTCTTCTGTTAAAATTGGACCAGTAGATGGTGCAGTGGGTTCATTCTTGTTGTGTTTTCAGCCGCCTGCAGAAAGGTCACCATCTGTCAGACTGTAGTTCTGTTTCACTGTCTGAATTTAATATTTATTTGTCATAAAAGAACAGACGTTCAGTCTTCTAATCAGCCTCAACTTGATGAGGATTAATTTGATAATTGAAAAGGAAAAAACTTAAACGTAAATTAAGTTTTCTGTCAGCTCAGTCACACTTGGACCAGATACAAGTCTCCTGTTTTCACTGTAGGTCTGTCAGTCAGAGGTGGGTCTCTCTTATTTCTGGTGATGACTGACACAGCAACGACGACTCTGTCAGAACATCCTCAGATAATAATGGAGCTGTGACAGTGAGCTGTGAAACCGGGGCTCAGGACGGACATTAATTACAGTAACACGCGGCTGTAAGAAACAGGGTTTGTTTAAAACCTGTGGAGTAAATAGTTTAATTGAATTAAAGTGTTTTCTGATGTTGGTAAAATCACATGTACATTAGATTTTTGCACATGCTTTTAACATGTGAAAACATGTTAAATTAATCTGGATGGAGGCCAGTTAGCTTTAGCATGTTGTTCCCTAAAGACGTTGTTCAGTGTTGAGTTCTACTGAAAGACACTCGGAGGAGTCTGCTCTTTAACCCTAACCCGGTAAGTACATTTTGTTTTCTCGCTAGTCAAAATTAGCATCCCCATTAATATCACATATTAATATATTAATACCACAATGCTAGCTAGCTAGCCAACGTTGGCTGATCATTTAGCAATTGCTATGCTAACGGTAGAAAGAAAATAAATCTGAAATTACGAGAATAAAGTCGTAATTTTACGAGAAAAAAAGATATTTAAAATAAATAATATTTAAAACAAGTAATACTAGAAGAATAAACTCGTAATATGTATAACAATAGGATTCTCCACGTTCCTCATTTTAAAGCAGGTTAACGTTGCTCCTGATATTTCCCCTCTAAAACCTCAAATTACGACTTTATTCTCATCATATGACTATTTTCTTCTTCTTCAAATATGATTTTATTCTCATAGTTTAGATTTTTAAACCCAGTTTAGTTTGAGTTTGATGTAGAGTAAAAAGTACTGTGTTGGCAGTAATCACATCTTAAGTAAAGGAGCTAATACCACACTGTTAAAAAACAAAAAGACTCCATTACAGGTAAAATACATTCAAAATCTCACTTAAACAGTTTAATCAGAATAATGTAACTTTGAGAGATATCAAAAGGAGTTAACACTGCTGTAAAATGTAAGCAGCATTTTCTGTTCTGTCATAATTATTTTATGTTGGACTGTAACTAATGATCATTTTCATTACGTATCATTTTTATTGTCAAAGAATTTCTGGATTATTTCCAGATTAAGTGACTGTTTGGTTTGACACTCATTTTTTACATGGAAAAGGATGATTATCAAAATAGCTGCCTGCCTATTGATTAATCAACTAATCATTTCAGTTACTTGTACATGCTGTTAGGAGGTTTTATTAATAACAGAATCACGTTTTATGAGCTCTTCACGTTTTGGATGCAAAACTGTTCATCTGTAATGTGATTAGTAACTGCAGCTGTCAGATAAATGTAATTCAGTATTAAACTGAATAAGAATAAAGAAGAATAAAGTTAAGTCCAAGCTCTTCAAAATTGTGCTGATGTACTCATATTATTATGGTTTTACAGAATAGTGAGTCTCTTGATATAAATATATAATATAAGGTTGATATAAATATTATCTATAATTAATTTTAGTTACTGACCTGAGGAGAAAAACAAGGAGCCAAAAGTTAATCCAAAAGTAAAACTGATCAGCTGATCAATCATGGCAGTTGATAGCTCAGTTTATTACACACATACAAGATAAATAGTCAAGCACTGTAATGTCAGACAAACAGGACATGATCATCTAGATGCACTGGTTCACACAGATGTGACTCTACATGTAAAGCGTCATTAGTCGACATGAACCAAAGACAGTGAGGACATTGTTGTGCTGTTACCCCAGACCTCAGGAGCTTCACTGTTCAGGAGTTGATACGAGACAAATATGGTGGATTTTTTCCTCCTTTGGTTGGTTGTGTTTCTTCAAAACTGTCCAATCACATTATTTTCTTCTGTCACGTTCTGATAGGTGATGTAATCCTGATCAAATCCCTGAGAAAGTAAGGGGACAATCTGCTGTCTTCTGATCTGATCATTCTCCACCACAGGAGGAATTCAACTCGTCAAACACATGAACTATTCACTTCCTTTTTTTCGCTATTTTAAAATCAAATATTTGTTCTAAATCAAAAGTGCTATCGCAGACGGACTAACAGTAAATATCTAACCTTTCCTCCACGTGTACCAACACGTTAATCACATGTAATACGATGCAGTCATTACAGTTGTATAAAACATTGGTAGGTAACTCTCAAAAGTGTTTAAATATTATTATGATGTAATCTCTTAAAACTTGATCCCTGGAGATTAAATCTTATTGTTTCTTTCATGATTAGACGACGGAGAGTTTACCAATGTTTCATGCAGCCTCGTCGCTCGAAATGAAAATCTCAGAGCATTTCATCACAGAAGTGCTAAATACACCAGTCATTAAACTAAGACATCGTCCTGCTCTCCAGCCCACGATCAGGCCGGAGCTGCAGGCGGTTTACCCATCATTCATTCCTTGATATTAAGTTTTTTTTGCCTCTTGTCACCAACAAAAACCAAAAAAACCATTGTGCGACTTTGATTTTTGATATAAATTAAACGCACTTTAACCTCGTGTTAAATATGTAGAGCGAGGCCCTGGAGCCCCCCACACCCCCCCGTTGGAAAGTGACTAACGGCGCCTTACTGATCAGACACATCACATTTTGGTGAGACGTCATTTCAGGTGGAGCAACTAAGGTAAGACGGTCAGAGTGATTAGCGGTCTTGCTCAGTGCGAGCCGTGGGTCCATGCTGGTGGTTTTGAGTTCTCCGGGACTGACGGTTTACATAGCGGCCATCTTGCTGGCCTCTCGGACCCCGCTGAGGTAGGCTCCTGTCACAGTCTGAGGGAAGTGTCTGTTGGTCGCCTGGTGACAAACAACAGTGACGACAAATCAATAAATCTTTTTTGACTTGTCACAGCAGGAAAAACACAGGTGCTTCCGTTTACATGAGCTGGTTCCAGGACCCTGTGCATGTTGGCTCGCTGGATATACGTCTGATTTGATTTCTACTTTTTTAATAGTTTTAATTTACATATCTTTTTTACTAACGGTTGTTGGTCTTAATTACTCTTAATGGTTAAATTCATACGTATCATTTTTGTGTTTGTTTTAATCTGTGTCTAGTGTTTTATCTTCACATAGTTTTTAGTAACTCAGCCTCGTGCAGCAGTTTGAGTTTCCACCTGGAATCAAATGTGCTGTATAAATAAAGCTTTGCTGCCTCACCAGCATGTCTCCCTGACGCTGATCATCAGAATCAGAATCAGATCACTTTATACAAACAGAAATAAGCAGCAGTGAGGAAGCTGTTGTTACCTCGCCGGCGAAGAACACTTTTCCCTGAACGTCCTCAGCGAGGATGTCGTAGGCCTCTCCGCTGCCCCCCGTCTTCACGAAACTGTAGGACATCTGGGACCACGTGTCTTTGCTCCAGTGAGTGATGAAGAAATGCAGCGGCTCTGGGACTTCCTGTCGAGGGTGACGAGAGGGAAACGACGACAGCAATCAGAAAAAAAAATCGTGTGAATCTACCAGAGGAAACGGCCGGCGCATTCCCGAAGGCCGTGTGTGAAATTGCTGTTGCCATGCCAACGTGATTTTTGTATTTTTGAGTCCTTTTCCATCATGAAGTAAAGAAACTGAGGAGCTTTACTGACACTTGAGACAGAAACTTTATTTATCCCCTTGGGGAAATCCATGAGTGTGATTGGTCTTTGCAGAACGTGACATCATTACCTGTTCCTTGAAAAGTTCACGCAGAACCTTCATGCACTCGTCCACCACCTCCTTGTCCTCCATGTCCCGAACGGCAGGCACGGCGTCCCCGGTGATGACGGACATGAGGACGGCCTGTTTTCCCTGCAGATACACAGACAGCATCGAACACGATGTAAAGATGACGAGGTCAACGTGGAAAATCAGGGAATTATTCATATCGACCTACTCTGAAAACATGGTAAGACGCCGACTGCATCCAAATCCCCCCGACTTCACACTAAAGTATAAACTTCCTTCATATAAACTTTATCACACAGTGGGAAGTTTTATTTTTCTTTGTAAATTTTCTTTTTTGTGACTTTTGGATTTACTTGTTGAATATCTTTAATTAAAAAGACATTTTTAGAGTTTGTTCTTTGTGGAGCTTGAGTGGTCGTTGGTAGTTTGATTTTAAATGTCAGGACAGAGACCTGATAAAAATAAAACTTAGAAATAAGAACTTAAAAAGTTCAGTGGGGAGAGTATTTTCATTATAACTGAGCAGTGAGATGATGTTTGTGTCTTTGTCCTGAGAGTGAAAGGAGAGAATCGAACCTGTGGCTCCATGTCATAGAAGACACTGAACATGCCTCTCTTGTCAGGACCTGGAGGGATGTGACCAAAGTAATCCGCCCCCTGGATTTTGTTGTCCCAGAATCTGTACGGGAACTGAAGCGCGATCTGCAGATCCACACACAGAAACATATTTCATATCTGAAACTTACAAACTCACAGAAACGAAGGGACAGTGAACCCGGCGGTACCTTCTCTATGATACCGACTCCCAGACTGTGGATTGCTTTCAGTTTCCTCTCAGGAAGCGGAGGGTTGAACTGAATCGAGTTCTTCTGAAGTAAAGTCAACGGGACCGTCACAAGAACCTGAAAGAGGAAAAGATGTGAAAGTAAAAAGTCATTCACAATAAAAAGATTCAACATTCTCTGAAACGTCACGTGTTAGTATAAAGTCTTCATGGATATATTTTTACCTTCTGTGCCGTCCACTGAGAACCATTGGAGGAGGTAACTTTGACAACGTCCCCTGAATAGTCGATGGCCTGAACCTAAAATAATTTAAAAATACAAAACGAAAATCCTCATTTATTTTTCACAGTGAGATTTATTTCTGCTTTTATTTATATAAAAATAAAATCTGGAATCAAAAAACGGAAAAAACGAACCGGACACTTCGTGCGGACGTCGAGACCTTCGGCCAGTTTGTGGAGCAGAACAGAGTAGCCCTTAGTGAGTAAAGTGTGGTCTCCTGAGAACTGGGCAAAGAACTCATTGTGGTCCCAGGATCTTGCTGATACCTGCAAACAAACAAACAAACAAACAGTAAATATCCTTGAGAACATTTTCAAAACCTAAACACATCACACCAACACAAACAAGATGTCGGACACAGACAGAGGGAGTTTCCAGTGAAGAAACTCTTCTTCTTTGGTGAGTGTTTCTCTGAGACACAGATTTAGTTTCCTTACCAATAAACCAGCCAGCATTTATTAATCTTATTAATCTGGTGACTTCCTGTTTATATCAACCGTCCAATAGGAATCCTTCTACTCAGACACCTGGCAGCTCTTGTTCACACCTGGTCTAACGTGCTTCCACAGGCGTACTCCAGGTTGCTGAGATGAAACTGAAGCACTTTCTCCTCCAACTCACTGAACTGGATCCCAGACTCCTGCAGGAAGTTCTTCTTCACTTCCTGGACTTTCTCTGCAGAAATAAAAACACATTACAAACATCTGTAAACCACCTGAACCAAATTCATGTTTTTGTATTTCGGAAGATTAAAGGAGACATTGTTTTACACTCAGTCAGCACGACTTCTGTTTCCCTCTCATAACCTTGTATTGAACATACTCGCACTGAAATAACCAGCGCTGAAACTACATGCTCTTTCACAGCAATGACATTTGAAATCTCTATAGCTCATTATCTTGACGAGTTTAATGAGATAATGATCCAGTAAAACACCAGAGTTTCTCTTATCACCATATTCTATAATAAACTATCAACGCTGTCGTTTCCATCTGTAAAGTGACTTTCCTGAACCTCAGTGAACGTCACACTTCTGATTAAGACATTGATGTTGTTAACAGCTCAGCACCTCCCAGTGGCGTGTCCTGGTTCTGCGACTTGTCCTTCCTCCACTCCGACACCACGTCCAGGATGGCGTTAAAGTGGAAGTCCATGCGCTTGTCGATGGACGGGTCAGTGGCCTGTCCTCCCTCCTGGAAGAGGTCACAGCGCTCGCCCAGCTTGTGCATCTTGATGCCGATCTGCAACACAAGAGTAAGAAGGAAACATCATATAATCCATGTAATGTGCTTTGTTTAGCTGCATTTATTTACACCAGACTTCAGAGAGGAAAATTTTAATTCATGGTAAATGATTCGGATCTGCCCCAAATTTCAATAGGTTGTTCCCTGGCCCCTCCCCTGTCCCTCCACCAAGTTTGGTGCAAATCGGTTCAGTATTTTTTGCCCAATCCTGCTGACAAACAAACAACATGAGTGAATTTATCACTTTTCAATAACAGTGGCACATATTTCAATTTTTTATTCATTATGACATTTTTACTTTTTATGTTTATATTTTATCTTTATAATCTTACTTCTTATTCTCTATTCTTTGTTGGTACATTTCCATTCTTGAGGGAGCAACTGTGACGTAATCTGATTTCCCCCTGGGGATCAATAAAGTTCTTTGATTCTGATACTGAAAACATAACGTCCTCAGTGGAGGTGATAAAGATAAATCATAATCTGTCTGAGCGCAGGATTTCTAACCTGTTCACACATCAGGGCGATGGGGTTGTTCACGCAGCCGTTGACGATCTGAGCTCCTCGACCGACAGTGACGCCCAGAGAAGTGTCATCCCACACTCGACCTCCGATTCTCTCCCGTGCCTCAAGCAGCACCACCTGTGAATCGATGGAGATGAAGAGTAACGGGGTGAAACATGAGGTCAGGGAAGACGTGCAACAGGATCTGAGTGAGGTGAAGTGTTTTAACCTGAGTGCCAAAGTTTTGCAGCTGTCTTGCAGCAGCCAATCCTGAAGCTCCGGCGCCGATGACGATGACGTTCTTCTGCAAAAATGAGGAAATGAAAATGAAGTCCTGTAAACCTTAAACAAAAAAAAATCTTCAACATAAACATATAGATGGGTGCTGCTGTGTCACGATCAAGTGAAGACGACGACACTCACAGAGCGGTATCTTTCAGGGAGGAGGGGCTGTTTGACTGACAGCACACCCGTGTTGATCAGACCCTTCCTGGTCATGAAGTTGAGCACCCGGTCCATCTCCTGCACGCAGCGCACACGCACCAGCCCCCGGACGATGATGTGCAGCGCACATTTCTGAGACGTCAGCATCTCCTTTAAAAAAGACAAATAGTTTCATTATTTCACTTCTTGCTGGTTTAGAGTTTTTTAATCCACTTTTTACACATTTATTTGGATTTTTGTTCCTGGTTCAAAACCTAAAAGGGGAAAACATGAAAAAATACGGCGTGTTTGCAGGTAACTGTCACTGGCAGGTGTCACCTTGCAGTTCTTGTGCCAGGACGCCAGGATGAGGTTACGTAAAGCCAGGTACATGGTGGGATCACGGGAAAACTCCGGGAACTCGTAAAGCTCATCCAGCTCCATCATGTCCGGCCGCACACACAGAGCCTTGCCACACTCGTTGGGCTGGTAGAAGGGCTGGAAGTACGGACACAGGCCTGGAACTGAGGAACACATTATGAAAAACCACATTACTGTCGTCTGGATTGATGTCTCCGTCAGTCCCGCTCCTCTCTCTGTGCATCACAGTAACAGACTCACTCTGCGGCTGCACAGCTCTGCAGTGATCCCCCCTCAGCTCAGACAGGGACACGTTGCTGGGGGAGCCTGATGGACTCATGCCCACACAGTCGGGGTAATAGGCGGAGAGGAAAGGGCTGGCTGGACTCTCTTTAAACAGCGGCGGCAAAATCAGCATCGAATGCCACCAGCTGTCAGTCACCTCCGCCACTCTCTGTCACAACACAACGGCTCGTTGGTTAAAGAGGGTGTCAGTTATTCTATCTACCTATCAATCAATCAATCAATCAATCAATCAGTTAAACAATGTAACACAAAGTGCTTTACAGAATAAAAGCAATAAAAAAAACAAAGCCACCGCCTCTCACAAACACACAACAACAATAGAAACAGGAAGTGAAACACTGAAGACTGGAGCGAAGAGAACGACAGAGTGATAAAGATAAAATACTAAAACAGAGGAGAGGAATTAAAGTTAAATAAAACTAGAAATAAAAGGAAGGATATTAAAACGCAAATAAAAATAAAGACACAATAGTAAAGATAAAATAATAAATTGTAAAAGAGCAGATGTTTGGAAGAGAGAAAAATAGAAATAAAAGTAGAAATTAAATAAACAACCAGAAATAAAAGTAGAGTATTAAAAGGAAAATAATCATAGAATAAAAGGATTTCTCAATGACACATGCTGGATACGTAATCATTTTAGAAATATCTGATTATAATAAGTTGTTGTTTGCAGCTGTTTAACTGCTGGGATAAGAAGACAGATGTTAACATCAGCTTACCAAGTCCTCTGGCTGGGAGCACTGGTCCGGGCCCTCAGTCTGTGGGCAGACAAACAAGATTATATCATCATAAATATCATCATCAAAAAAACCATCACTTAGTTAATGGCGTGTTCTTAATTTCCTGTCGACCTTGATGTTGTTGAACTTCATTCCACAGCGATATGTTGCTGCCAGGGAGGCGGTGAGCTGGATCTCCTTGGTCAGCTGACGCCACTTCCTGCAGTCCGGTTTGGTGCATTGAACCTGAGAGGAACATGTGAAAATGAACGTTACTGTATCTGCGACATGGAGAACTTAGAATGACCACAGTCAGCTGTTTAACAGGAAGCAGGAAAACACAGCAGCACGTACCCAGAACGGCAGCTGCTGATCTGCCATGAAGGCTTTAAGACTGGGCTCACTTTTCCCATTACTGGTCCACACCTTCTTCCACGAGGCAAAGATCTCATAACCGTCTTTGTGACTGAAAAAAGGAAAATCAGAGTCTATAATAGTCATTTACCTGAATAAAGAGCATGCTGCTAGATCTATAAGATAATAAACAATAAAATATCTGCGTTACACTCTTGAAGCAGCACTTTCATAAATAATCAGTCGTCACCTTCTGTAATAGTGATCGAAACATTCGTTGCAAAAATGTTCGCCACACGACAGATGATACCAGCGAGATGTGTATCCGTTTTTAGCGCACCTGAGGAGAGACGGAGGGATGAACATCCATCAGTCTTTCAGTCAGTTTCTATAAAGATGTGAGTCGGTTTATTACTGTTGAACAGCGACACACGCTCTACCTTTCAGATGCACTTGCAAAACAAACGGGGTACGTGGCAGAGCATCCAGCCTTCTCACACTTTCTGTACTTCTTCTCAGACTGATCGTCCTCCTCCTCCGTGTCTGTGGCTTTTCTTTTGCTCTAGAAGAGAGTGTTGAGAATATTACAGAGCTAAACTCTACTGATCTTTATTTATACAGTTATTTAAATTAAGGCTGCACTGATCCGATACACTGGATCAGGATCCACAGCAAAACTGACCTGATTAAAGACACTGTATGTCTGGAGAATATGATTTGTAGGTGGGGGCGTCTCTGTAGCTCCACAACACTGATGGAGCTAACAACGTACAACAATGTTGTGACACAATTTACCCTCACCTTGGCCATATTGTGATTTTGATTATATTTCGATTAATTGTGCAGCTCTAATAGATAGAAACACAGCAGGTAACAAACAATATAATAATATAATTAAAGGTTAATTATATAAAACAACTTCATGGACTAAATGGTGAGAGGCTGATGAGATGGACTACTGAACTATTATTGTTTATTATTGACTATGATTACTGTGACTAATGAACTGCTGGACACTTGAATTTCCCCTAGGTGATAAATTATCTGTCTCTCTATCTAATGAAGTAAAGGCAGAAATGCTCCAAATAATGTGATCATGTACAGAACCATGTAAGATGTGGATGAAGGGGAGTAAACAAATATGAGGACCAACACTGCACAGCAGGAAACCAGAAGCTGATCATGCATGGTGCAGCTTTACCTGTCCAGGTGGAGGGTTGTTGGTGCGCTTCACCCGGACGTTGATCTGCCGTCCAGAGGAGCGCAGGGTCTGGCCGTCCCCCGGCGACTCCCCGGAGCTCCTCTTCCTGGCTCTCCGAGCGCCAGAAGCGTTTCCAGAATAGTCTGAGCATTAATGACAACAGTGTGTCTGTAACACTTGAACACAATGCAGCTCAGGTCAACAGAGGCCTTTCATACACAACAGCTGTGTCTGTGTGGACGCAGTTAACGACACTTTTAACAGGCTGACCTAAACAAACGTACAACGAGATGATTTGTATGTAAACGCAGCAGAAGTGGCGACACAAGAGCACATTCACGAGCCTTTAAAACCAAACAAACAGTGTGAGCCTGTCACATTTAGCATGTAGCACCCAGCAGCAGCGCGCGACAGACACTGACCTGCGTCCGACAGCATGGCTGCCCGCGGTGTTCCTTTAAAAAACCCCGGGATTTATTGACGTTTGTGTGAGTTTCTGACACGGATTTTTACATTGTTGAATCCGTCTCCCTTTTATTGTTGTGGGCGGAGGGAGGGATGGGGGGTGGGGGGGTCGGGGTGCGCTGTTGTTACCAGAATACCACTTCCCGTTCGAAGGAGGAAATGGGCGTTTCGTGTAGGCATTAGATTTGAACTGCGCTGCTCTCCGTACTACACGGTAACCATAGTAACCGGAGTACGCGCTCAAACTCGGAGCTAACAGGGAGATGTTGGACGACTAATGTTGTTTTAATACTTTTATTTAGACTTTTGATACTAAACAACCGGGTTTCATTTATTTAAGTTATCATTAGTGTTAGCTTGTTGTCATTAGCTGCAGATAGAAGTAAACTGCAGCCATTTTAAATGTTTCAAATTGATCTGTGAGTGACTTATCGTTCTGTTAATTGATTAGCTAACGACACCAGCAGGAATCAAACGTTGAACCGACGATGTTCGTGTTTGCTGCTGAAGTGAGACGCTGAAGGAAAGAAAGTTCTTCGTTTTTTCTTTTGCAAATGGATTCAGTTGTGAACAGAAGAAAACCGGTGATTCCTGTAATCAGAGCAGCAGACAGGAGCCAACACATCCAGGAGGTAAAACTCATACTCATTATATTTACTGCTGAATTGTCAGCTTGACACCACATTTTTTTTTAAATTATATTATTTTTTGAATATATTTGATCTAATATAATATAATATTATATTATATAATTCAATTTAATATTATATTAATTAATAATATATTGCTTATATAAGCTTGAGATTATTTATTTATATTTATGCTCACTAGCTGCACAATCATTCTAACTCCTGTTTGATTCTAGCTTATCTTTGTCTTTTCTATTTTACTCTTGCAGATGAATTTGTCTTGCCTTTGCACCCACTCATTTATTTCATAGTAAAGAGTAAATAGAGTAAGATGGAATAACCTATACACTGGTTTACCGGCCCATACACAAACTTGAACTATACAACAACATAATTATCAAAAACTGAAAAAAATTACAATAATCACATTGGTGTTGTTTATTAAAAATCTCTTATTTCAGTTGGGAAACACACAACATGAAAAAAAATGCTTTTCCCAACAAAAGGACAATTTCCAAAAATACACCATTTGATTTACTGCATGTTTATTTAGGAATATGCACCACTAAACTAGGCAAATTTAATTGTATGGCATCTATAAACAACAAGGCAATTAAAAGTTCTTTATATAAGAAGAAATACAAAGCAATGAAAAAAGTCTATAAAATATGATTTTAAAAGATGGATGCAAAGTAAAATAATAATAATGATAACACCTCTCTGTGACAAATTTGTGTAGGAGTTCTTCAATCACTGAAGAAGAGTCTTTAAATTGACAGTAATACTTTAACTGACAGTGTAACTTTGACTAAACTGTATTTTCAACAGGTCAGTGCTAAAAGTCTTGAACTCACTAAGGTGATTCGACTCCTTGAAGATCCTTTGACAGTGAGTTAAACTTGAACGTCATCAGTTTTTTTCTGTCTGAGACGATGTTATATGTAATCACACTGTACATTCTGCTTTTACTGAAGGCTAACCTGAAGGAGAGGCACCTTTTTGTCCTGAAGAAGCTCTTGAAGAGAAGCCACGTCGGCTTTGTATCCTTTCTTTTCCATTTCACGTTTTTATGCAGTCTGATAATGCAAACTTCTCTTTCTGGTACAAAATCATTTCCCTCAGGTGTCACACACTGCAGCAGATTGCCAAATTTTCCTCATTAATGTTCCCTTGGTGCAGTGATGGAAAAATATTTGCTCTTGCAACCTGAACACAGAGTCAAAACAGAGTTCCCAAGGCTCCAATTTACCGCTGCATCTCAGTGTCTGTCAGCATTTTCCCTGTTCAGAAATAACCTCAGGTATCACGATGACTCTTTGCCCCATCACGTCCCCCCCCACCTCCCCGCTGGGATTTAAGTCTGTGCACAAACAAACTCTGAGCTAAATGTTAAAACTTCTTAAGCTATTTCAAGCTGCTGAAGGAGCTGACAGGCATAGCCAAAATACTCAACATCTGTGCTGAGAAAGTGAAGGATCACCCTGAGTATGTGTCCATTTTGAATGAGGCACTTAAAATTTGTAGGTAAGCAACTCAGATCTTTCAAGCCGACAAGGAAACAACTTTTTTTTAGTCATGAAATCATCTAAACATCACAGTGTTGCTCTGCTTCGTCTCAGGCTTCCCTTCCTGAAGGAGAAAGCATCTGATGAGGTGACCTACGCTCAGGACGTCATAGAGTTCCTCTCCCACATGGGTACACAGCTCCGTTATTAAAAGCCTCCCAGCCCTTATATTACTGGTCATGTTTATATACAATTACAGTTTTTCTTACTGTCAAGATAAAAATTTTGAGACAGAGACAATGACAATATTTTACACCTTCCCTATCTGGTCTGTGACACCCAACACCAACACCACTGGTTCCTTCTGAAGATGTGAATCTGTAAAAACAGCTGAAAAGTGAACAGTGAGCCACACTGTTGCACTGGCTGACATGTTCCTTCATGAGCTCTGAAGTTTAATTTGACAAACTCCCACATACATCATCCTGCTGCAGGAAATAGTCTCAATATGTGTATTAATCCACAGTTGAAAATAGTCCTCTATAAATACAATATTTACTCCAGTTTAAATTGTATTTATCAAAAACTAGTGTCCAGCTGCTACTGAGCCTTTTCTAAAAATGAAACTGATGTTTTCAATCATTTTTAATAATAATGAAGCTCTGTGACTCGGAGGAGTGAGATATATCAGGCTTCAGCTACACATTCATTTCACTGTCCTCAATCACAGCCTTACTCTTTAAGTTACATCATCCATCACAGTGAACATCATATTACATTTATTTTTTGTCAAAATGACATCATTGTTTTGTGGTAATGCAGTTGTGAGAAGGACATTTTTGTAAAATATTTGTGTGTGTGGGACTTAAAATGCTGAACATCAGCGTTTTTAATGCAACTCACAACAAATCCATGTTTTCCTTCCTGCAGTTTTTACTTTGTGTTTCTGCAGAATGATCTTTGCTTTACATTTAAATCAGAAGGACAGGAGTGGTGATGAGGAGTGACTGTGTCAGGTGTGTCTCTGTTGGCAGGGTGTCTGATGAGGGTGTCAGATGCTGCAGTGAGACAGCAGATAGTTGAATCTGTGAAATCATTCTACAGCTCTGTGGCTCCTAAACAGCAGCCTGACGGTACGGACCGCGACACCAACCCAAAGCCTCGGACTTTCCACTCTTGCAGATTTTCTAGACTTTCACTGAGTGAGGCTCTGTCATGGCGTCTGTGGTGGCATGCTTGTGCTTCTCTCTTTCTTTTTTTGTTTCATTCTCTCATTCTAATTATTGGTGCATATAATTGCAAAGATCAGTCAAACTGTAAAACAACCTGCCTTCTCCTAATGTCTTTGTCTCCTCCTGAAAACGTACTTTGACACATGATATTATGTATAGAGTCTTAGGCAGAGCGCTGCGTTGAGCTAAATGCTCAATCTTAGTTTAGCATGTTAGCATGCTTACATTTGCAAGTTAGTGCTGAACACAAAGTTCAGCTGAATGTCATTGGTTCTGTATTTACTAACTGAACAGCTGATCACATGAGGAGGACATGAATCTATTTACAAATTTTCATGGGAATCTGTTCGAAAGTTGTTTAAACATTATACGAAAACACTAAATGTCGACCTCACGGCTTCAGTGTCTGGGACCACTGGTATCTGTATAACATTTAATGGCAATTCATCCATTAGCTGGTGAGATATTTCAGTCATGGTCAAAGTGGCAGCACGATCAGCCGCGGCACAAATATTTACTGATAAATGTTCCAACATATAGAAACTAGAGCTGGTTTCTAGATGTTTAGAACCATCAGTTGGACTCTAATTCTTATGTTCCTTTGAATCTATTTGAATCTGTCCTGATTTTCTTTTTCCTCTTACTTTTTTAATGTTGTATCACTTTTAGTTCTTGGTGTTCTGCACCTGTAATAATGAATTCCGTTACTTTGAAATACTACATATATTTTATATTTTATTTCTATTGTCTCTCGTCTTCTCTGCCTTTGTTTCTCGTCAACGTCACATTCAGGAGTTTACTGTGATATTAAGATATATTTCCTCTCTGTTGCTGCAGGGCTCCAGTCGACCTCTCCAGGCTACAGGCTGCAGCTGCTGGAGCTCAGTGACCTGGCTCAGACGCTGCTTCTCTCCATGGCCACGCTAAAGACCCAGCCCGCCATCAAGCTGCAGCTCCTGCAGACCCTTCAGATCCTCTCAGGCTCCTCTGGTCAGTCTCTGCTTTTATTATGGATCCATTGAGGTAGTGGGGGAGGGGATCTGTCAGACATGTCAGTTCAACTGATGACCTCCTTCATTAGAGAAAGTAGGCAGCACTCAAGAGCATAAATCATCTCATTAAAAAACAACAATCAGACAAACAATCAAAACAGTGATTTTAAGTGTCCTTGTATCAATGTCAGCAGGTCAATGGGTTGTTTTATTGCTAATCACATCTATTTATCTGTAATTGCATTTCATTTTACGACCACAGATATGAACTGTGCCTTAATTCTGAATGCACACGGAGCAGAGACGATCTGTCTTCACATGAACGAGCCCGACCCGTCCGGTCAGGTCCTGTTCTGCTCCTCTGAAATCCTCTGGAACCTGCTGGAGAGAGGCAGGAAGGACGAGGTCACCGCTCAGCTCAGCAGCATGGAGTGTGTTGTGTAGGCGTCTCCAGTTGTCTTTTAGTGTTTTTAAATGAGGATGAATCTGAATTACCCTTTATTCACTTTCAGAAGACAAAATTTTTGATTTTATGAAATCTTAATCTCCTAAAATGAGATTGAAAGGATGTTATCTGAATCAAGAATAAATCACTTTCCATCATCCATCCTCTCAAAATCATTTTGTACAAACATATCTGTTATTGTTATCTGTTATTATTTCTCTTCATTTCTTATCACTTTTATCTTAGATCTCTGAAAGAAGCATTTTTTCACCTGCTGATGAACGGCTTCCAACACGCTGACCTCCAACTCAGAAACGATCTGCTCGTGATCACAACTCTCATCGCTGAAAACCCCAACTCTCTGCTCATTGTGAGTACAGGACAGGAAGTCAAATAAGCAGTGAGATCAGTTTATATATGCATGATGCAAACATGGTCAGTAATGTGGTGTGTCAGATGTGCTGCTACAGTCTCACATGATGTTTCTAATTTTCAGGAGAGTTTATTTGCCAAACAGTTGATGGGTTTAGTCACATTTCCAGAGTGTGAGTCAATTCTTTTTTCTTTTTTTTTTGCAAATGAATTATTTATGAGTATTAAAGTAGAAGCTCTCATGACACCAACTCTTCTTTATATTATAGTGAAAACTCAAAACCCTCTGGTTCGCAACCTGAAGCTCAGCTACAGCAACGAGGATCTGAAAATGAAGAAGCTGCTGTTGAATCTGTTGGTTATAATGTCAAAGGATTTTTCTGCGCTGCAGGTGAGAAACAGACTCAGTGGGTTTGTTAATATGTGAATAATCTGAGTCTCACTCTCTACATGTTCTCTCCATGATTCCCTCTCTTAGCTCTATAAAGAAGAACAGGTTATGTTGGCTCTGCTGACGCTCGTGAAGCCGCCCGCTGCCTCGTCCGAGCGCCGCTCCGGTCTGCGTCACTGGTCCTCCGTCCAGCAGGAAGAGCTGCAGCTGCAGGCGCTCGCCACCCTCGCAACCATCGCTCCACTCATGTTGGACAACTACATGTCATGTCAAGGAAACGCGTGTCTGCTGCTGCTGCTGGACTGGTGCATTGGGCAAGGTGAGGGGGCAGAAAAACATGGAGACCTGCATCTGAAAGGTCAAAGGTCAAACGGTAACATTGATGTGTATTATCAGGATGCACAAACTCTGAGCTGCTGCTCGCTCACTGTAAGACGTGACATGATACTTACAAGATAAAGAACGAGTCACTACAGTCACTTTCTATTTCAGTCATGCTGACACTTCAACTGCTTTCATCTTTTACACTTCAACTGACTTCAACTGCTTTAATTTCCTACACTTCAACTAACACTTCAACTACTTTAACCCCTTACACTTCAATTGAAGGTTTCACTGCTTTCATCTTTTACTCTTCAACTAACACTTCAACTACTTTAATTTTTTACACTTCAGCTGACAGTTCAACTACTTTCATCTTTAACACTTCAACTAACACTTCAACTGCTTTCACCCCTTAGACTTCAAATGACGGTTTAACTGCTTTCTTCTTTTACCACTTCAACTGACAGTTTAACTATTTTCACCCCTTAAACTTAAAATGACAGTTCAACTACTTTCATCTCTGATACTGTGGTAGTTTAAAGTATTTCATAATGTTTTTAGTTGTTAAAAACAAACTGACCTTTAACTTCAGACTGTTTGGAGTCTGAGCGGAACATGTTTACACTTCCTGTGTGAGCACACTTCATTTAACCTTTTCCAGTTTTCAACAATGTTGGTTAAATTTAGAAACTGCCGCCTGTTCACCGGCCTTTCAGTCAGTCAGTATGTTCATTATGGCTCCTCTTTCATTCCAGATGCTTTCTTTGGTCAGGGTCACGGTTTCCATGGCGCCGGAGGCAGAGGGAGTAAAAAGGCTCAGATGCGACACTGTATCAGAGTCCTCAGATCTGTGACGTCTTCAGGTGAAGAGTCGGTCAACCAGGACCTCTGTGATCAGGGAACCATCAATCAGCTTCTGGGTAAATTAGATTAAAACACAAAGTGTGTAATATCAGCAGAAACAACCTTTCACATCGTTAATAAACGAGGTCAGTGAGGTCGCAGCTTTTGTGTCTTTTCAGGGGTTTTGATGCAGATGGAGGCGAGTCCTGATGAGGAGGATGACATCACACTGGAGATAAAGTCAGACATTCAGCTCATACTGTCAGCGCTGTGTGAGGCCGACATGCACAGGAAGGTAACACTGATAAAAACATGGTATCCAAACTAATAAATCACAGAAGTCACAGTGGGGGGGGGGGTTGAATTAAAGTGACTTTATCTGATTATTATGATCATTCTGAGGACAGAAGGTTTTGTTGGAGAAAAACAGGTGAAGTCAATGTTTCCTGCCACTGTGTCGTATCATGCTGATGCCTGGAGGCACCAAAGTCACACATCTCCACATTTCTCACAGAATCAACTCATGAATAAATTTAATATTTTGTGTTGGTGCTACAGATGTGAAACCTGATGTGTGTTGTTTTTAATTATTAATCCATATCTCATGAATATTAACATGATTTACCTTTTAACTTTGTTTTGACTAATATTTTTCAGCTCTGTGTCGTCTCATGCTCAGATCAGACTCTGACAGTTTCAGTCTCTCATCAGACAGTGTGTGTCAGAGCGGAGCTGTTGACAGTCCTGTAATCTTCTGCCTCAGGAGCTGTTTGGGTCGGAGGGAGTTGAGATGACACTTCATTTCCTGAGGAAAGACTCCGACAAGTTCTACAGCGGCCTGGGACACAACAAGCTGCTCCTCTCCACGGTCGACTGTGTGTGGTCAGTCAAACCTCAGCACACCCTCATAGATTCACTGACGGACTCATTTAGTTCATTATAATATACAGCTTTCGTTTCCTCTTGCTTTTCAGAAACCTGATTTGAATCAGACTTTTAGTTCCTGGTTTCGTCCCTGATTGTTTCACATTAGGATTTTCAGCTGTAGATTCTGCAGCTTTGTCAAAGGCTCGAGACACATGAAGACACATCCTGTAAATACAGACAAATGAACTTGTTGATGAATTTAGCAGCAAAGCTTCTGTCAGGCTGAGACAGTTTGAGTCTGTGTGTTCTGTGTCCATCAGGTCCTGTGTTGTGGGCTGCTACACCACTGAAGATTTCTTCCTGGTGAGAGAAGGAGTTTCTCTTCTGCTTGACTTACTCACTGTAAGTAACTGATTTCCAGCAGACGTTGAGCCGTTAAACTGAAGGTGTTGTAATAAAACAGAGGTTCAGCTGCTCTGAATGAAAACTGTCTGCTGTCAGCCAATGAGCTCCTACAGAAAATATAAACTCCTGACATTCAGTTGTTGTGTGCGTCTCTCACAGTGGAGCCCCAGGTGTGTGCACGGCATCGTCCTCGCCACCCTGCTGGAGTTATGTGACAACGCCAACACTCCGTCTCACATCCTGAGCTGGAGGGATGATGGAGGTCAGACGGCTCCCAGGCTCCTGCTGCAGCTGTGGAGGCGGGAGGAGGAGGAGCTGGGCGTCGGCCGGAGCCAGCACGGAGAGATTACAGGTCTGCAAGAAGACGTGAAGCGACTGACATCATCACAGATCAAACAGAGATAGACAGTCAAATATCACAGTGATTAACTGAACATAAACACCAGAGCTGCGTCTGGGAGCAAACATCAACACTTTAATTAGCTCTTTAGTTTAGTGTTGTCAGTCTTATTGTAGAAAGTTCAATAAAGTGTTAAATGTTAATTATTGTGGATTAGAGACACAACAAAGAGGTTAAAGGTTCAAACAAAAAGGGGAGCTGGTGGTTCTTGTATTAAGAAACAGAGGTCTCCACTGATAAATCCTGTTTGATAAAACTGTCCCTCTTTGTCTGCACAACAAACATGTGTCTCATGTGTTTCTCCTCTTTTGCCTGTGAGATCCCCAGAGGCCGATCCTCAGTCACCACCAGCAGGAGAACACTCAGCCGCCACTTCCTGCTAACAGAGCGAGCGCAGCGGTGCTGGAGATATCAGAGAACCTGCGCTCCAAGATTTACTCCATCTTCTGCAAACTTGGTAAAACAGAAAGTGATGAATCAGATTCAGTGTCACGATTATTAAGTTATAGTATTATTTATTTAAACAACACATATGCATCTGTGAATATGTGGATGATTCGGTTTTTTATCATGTAGGCCAGTAGCTGTAGTCTGTCACTTACTATAGATGTCCTACACTGTCACTGTTAAAGCATGCAGTCTGGATCAATAATGTGGAGTCACACAATTCGTGATTATTTATTCTGTCAACAACAAAAATAATCCGATAATAGTAGTGTTGTGGAGGGAAGTATTGAAATTCAAAGGTTCATATCACTAACACACAAACCCACATACCTGCTGGTCAAGGTGCATAAAACAAAGTGTTTCAGTCAGACTTGAAAGTGGGAAATTTGCTTGTTTGTGAATTTTGCTCCCTCAGGTTTTCAGGAGCTGCCCGGGCTGTCGCCTAAAGATTATGTGACTTTGAGTGTCGTCAGGAGATATCTGGACTTTAAGGTGGGACAGACGTGTTTGCTGCAGGAACCACAGTGTCAGTATTTAATGTAAAATGAGCTGAAATGACCATGAACGGACTCTTGCTGCTGCAGGTGGGCGAGGTGTGGGACGAGATCAGCAGGGAGCTGAGTGTGGACGGCGTGAGGCCGGTCAGTCCTGACCGGGAGAGTCTGAGCACCATCTGTAAGATCGCAGAGGACACTGCCAAGAAGGTCACAGCCGAACAAAGCAGCTTCCTGGAGCAACAGGAGAAGGAGAACGTCAGCGAGGAGGAGCTCATGTACACGGAGGTGCTGAGAGTTAAACAGAACGCCTCAACAAAGGCTGAAGAGACAAACAACATGTTTCCACTTTCTTTGTCGTGTGCGACGGAGTGTCAGAGCCACACTGAGGAAAACAGAGAAATCTGAAAACACAAGAATAAAGTCAGAACATTACAAGTTTAAAAATGTTAAAGTTTGAGAGAAGAAATATAATTTTTATGAATATTACATCAACCAATCAAACGGATGAGAGGACTGTAAGTGTCAGCCGGAGCTGCTCCTGGAAGTTTCCTCTCAGTTTCTTCACAGTCTTTTCAATGTCATAATGATGATGATGATGATGATGAAGATGAAGTTTCTCCTTATTAGTGAAACTTCTGCCGAACTTCACAGATGCTCCACGTTGCTCATTTCTGATATTTCCCTCTAAAACAACATGGAATCATTCTCATTATATTTTGACTTTTTACTCGTAAAATTCCAACTTTATTCTTGAAAGTTCAGATTTGTTTCCTCCTCGTGGCCTGATACTCTGTGGGATATGAAGTGATTAGTTTTGGTTTGGATCCAGGAATTCTTGTTTGGTCATGAACTACTGCACAAACAAAAAGAAATGTGGCACATTCTTTATCTCACAGTCTGTCAGCTGCATTTGAGGCAGATCATTAAAACTTCTCAAGTATTTTCTGATATAAAAAGGATTCAAAGGATTTTAAAGGAGCTTTGATTAAAGGCCAGTGTCTGATTTTTGCCAGTAAACTGAGTGAAGACTTTCCACACTCACATCTCTTCTTCTCAGAAAATGGACTCTGACTCGTTCTTTGTGTCTTTTCATCCAGTTAAAGTCTCATTGGAAGCAGCTGGAGCTCACAGCGAAGTCATGGAACGATTACGTTTCCAAAACTTCAAACTATGAAATCCTGAAGGTTTTATATTTTATATTCAAACCTCAAAAAATGATTTAAATATTTATGTTTTTATTTTTATCAGCAAAAACTCGGAAGTTTTTCTTCTTTCTTTTTTTTTAACAGGAAGTAAAAGCAGAGAGGAAGAAACACATTGAATCATCCAGACCCAAAGTGAAGCTGGAGGCTGCTGCAGCTCATCCTGAAGAGGTTTCTCACTCACACATCAATGATTCCACAGGATTTCACTGTGGATCAGTCACATGACTGTACAAGATCAAAGCTGCAGCTCTGGAGCAAAGGGACGAGAAATAATCAAACTCTTACTGACCTCTGCTGGTGAAGAGTAGGAACTTCACAGTCCTAGAGTTACTGATGGAGACTGATATGAGCAGGGAATAAACCAGCTGGTAAAAGTAGAGATACAATAGAAACACTGAGTAAAGACGTGACATGCATCATCCTGCTGCTGTCGTTTAATGTTTGGGATCTACACTGCAGATTCTCTTCACAACGTCTCACATCTCCTTCTGTCAGGAGTTTAAACACTCTCAGTTTCACACAGAAAACTGTGGGACGCCTGCAAAGAGCTTTTAATTACTGCTCTCAAATTTAATTTGGATTCTATTCACACTGGTTTCTGTTTTTATTTTCATTTCCATATTTTATCATCTACTGTCTTTGTATTTTCATTATTGACCTTCAGTCCGCCCTCAGTTTATTTACCGTTTGATTCTTTTTATTGTAACTTTGAGCCACAGCTCTTGCATGAAATGCTCTTTATAAATAGTAAGTTTTATTTATTTGTTTATTATTTAAATATTTAAGTTAATTATTATTATTGTTATGAATTTAGTTTTTATTAAATGTCTTGCAGTATCATTTGGGGAAACGGAGAGTTACTGACTCAACACAGCAAAAACCTGTTGACAGTCAGAAATCAATGTGTAATCAATGAGGTCATCGTTATTGATCATTTGATGCTTTTAGACTAAAGAAAGCTGCAGTGAATCCAGGTCTACTGTACATGTGAAGAACTCCTCCAGTCACATTCACTGATGATTGCTCGTGTGTTTTACTGTGTGGCAGAACTTCATGGGGCAGGTCTTAGCGGTGGAGACCACAGGAGCTCAGGGACCTGCAGGAGTGAAGGTGACTCTGGCCAGAGCTGCGATCAGGGCTGCAGGTCCGGACCACGTGGAACCAGCGACACAAGACCCAGAATACTTCAGCACCGTATCTGTCAAAGACTGACACTGGTTCAATACCAGCCCTTTATATTATTGTTGCTCTTTTATCTTATACTTGTTTTATTTATATCAATAACAGACCAGAAATAAGATGCATCGACACATTTATTTATATTTATACTATTCACTTCAATATTTCAGTATACTGAAGTGAATCAGCAGCAAATGCAGACATGACGTCACTTGATGTGAACAATCAGCACCTTGTAGTCTAGACACACACACACACACATACACACACATACACACACACAAACACATACACACACATACACACACTTACACACACACATACACACACACAAACACATACACACACACTTACACACACACATACACACACATACACACACACAAACACATACACACACACATACACACAAACACACACACATACACACACTTACACACAAACACACACATACACACAAACACACACATACACACACATACACACAAACACACACACAAACAGCTGCAGTAAGCGAATTGTCAGATGAGCAGTACAGCTGTTAAAGTTCATGGATATTAAATTAATAAAACAGCTTGAACCAAAGTGGCTTCAGTCAAGAAGGAGGAGTTAACATTTGTAAACACTAAACATTTATAACACATTGTTATAACACACTGTCTGTTGTAATTTCTCTCCACAGTCTTCTGATCATTAAACCCATAATTGAAATGTTTAATTATGTTTCTATGATTTGTTTTCCAACATGCCACGTGTATATAACCAGTTTATAACCAGTTAATAACGGGATAAACCAGGATGTGACCAGTTACTAACCAGTGGAGCAACACGAACTCATGTAACATCAAATTAAAATCAGAATAACAGACGTATCTTCAGATGCAACAGAAAGAAATGAACAAACTAAATGAACATAGATTTTTAATGATGTTTAAAGGACATCATCTCTCTCTGTAAAGCACCCTTGGGTCCCTGAAAGGCGCCATAAAAACCCAAGCTATTATTATTAAATCAATGAGTGACGCCACGTCATCAGCTGTCAAAATAACGTCAGTCATTTCCCACTTCTCCAGCGGACGTGTCGTGATGTCTGTGACACTGAGCAGAGATCGACTCAGAAACCTGGAGAGTAAGAAAAGTACAACAATGTACGTCCATGTTAGACCCCTAATTACACTAAATGACTTTAAATATTAAAACAATTTTCAGTCTAATTACGTCCTGTAGAAGTTAATGTTCTCATGAAAAGTTACCGATCCCAGTATTTGTCCCTCCGGTTGTTTATTTCACACAGTTATTAAAGAAATATTTTCTCTGTATTGTGTCTTGTTACATAAGTCTCTGCAGCGCATTAACACACATGTTCCTCGAAGCGTGGAACATGCTGCACAGAACCTCTTCTCCCACTCTCACCGGCTGGATGACCAAATCATCTCTGACAGGCCGCCTCTTTTCATGCAGCTTAGTGTGTGTGTGTGTGTGTGTGTGTGTGTGTGTGTGTGTGTCAGACTGGGACTTTACAAAAGAGCAGGACACACAGGAGCCTCTTCAGTGCGACAGGCTGCCTCTGTTTGTTCAGGCTTCACATGGTGTCAGTCTGCTGAGCTGCTGCTGCTGATCGACCTGGACCTGATCACCTCAAACTGTGAGACACTTTGTTTTACCTTCACACTCTGTGGGTCAACTCTTTCCTTCACACCCCCCATTTACCATTAATCTACTCAATAAGCATTTCATTATTGTACACTAACAAGTTTATAACAGTGATGTCGTTGTAACAACTTGTGAGAATATTTTGAAGTATTAATGTATTAACAGTATTTATTAAAGTTAAACTTCTCATTTGAATAATATTTTACATCATCTGTGTTTTAATTTATTATTATTCGTTTCCTGTTTGTGCAGCAGCCTCCACATGAGTGTGAAGTTATAAATCACCCTCTTCCTCTTCAGTCTGGTTTTACATTAAATATTTCTTATTAATTTGATGACTTATTATTTAGCTATTTTATTCTTTTTATTTTTTTATTTTTTGCTGAAGTTATTACAGTTTTTTTAATCTATTTTATTGTGTCTCATTCTCAGCTTTCTTACTTGATTTGTCCTTTTTCTTTTCAGCTCATCAGTCAGTGGTGAAGCTCTTTGAGCTGCAAATACATTAATAAACACTAATATCTGCTTAGAGCTACAGTTATACTGTGTTATAATTCAATGTTTATTAAATGTTTATAAACTGCTTCACATTGGAACTGCAGGTGTATTTCTACTTACTTTTATTTTCACGTTTTAAAGACGAAACAATCTTTTAAATATTGATATAAAAAATTCAGAGAACGCAGGAGTAAAACTCTCTGTGGTTCTTGTATTTGGCAGCAGAGTCAAAACTGACTTTCCCCCAAAGACAAAGCTTCTTTTTAATGTGTCTGTGATTTTCTCCAAAACTAGACAGTGAAAAGTCAGAAGTATAATTCATATAAGACATAAGACCAGAAGTTCTCAACTGGTGGAAATGATTTGGTAACTGAACAGAAAAGCTGAACGTCTGACACCAGAAAATATTCTTTGTTTTAAGGTCAAAAGCTAAAAAGACTCAACCAATTGCTTTACTGTTAATTTCAGAAATAAAATCTTGTTTTCTCTCCTGCAGGAAGGTTGTTGACTCGCCTGAGAAGCTCCAGCAGCAGAAATGATCATCAGACTGGGAAGACTGACACCAGGATACTTCCGCCTCCTCCAGGTCAGTGACGATCTCCTCATCATCATTTATATCACCTGGATCTATGTAAACTGAAAAGGATGAAATCACTTTGTCTCAGATGTTTTTATCTCTAGAGCACAAACAAATATAGTAAATACTCTGATTTAGGAAAAGAAATATTGTAAATATTAATACTTTATACCGAACAGAGCAGCTGTGGACAACGTGGGAATGAATATTTTACAGAGAGATGACAGGGCTCGTCTCGGGAGGTGATGTAACCTGGTCAGACTCCACCTCTGCTCCAGATGCATGTTCAGACAGAAAACAAGATGACTACAGTCAGTTATCAATTATCACATCTTCATTCAAAGTTTTATGTCACTTTAAATTCAAGTCGCTCATTTTATGAGATTATATAATGTGATATTAAATTTTAAAATATATATATTATAGAGCGTATTTATGTTTCTAGAGAAATGTGACTGATGGTGATTCTGTGATTCTGATCATCTCTATGAAGAAAGAGATGATGGTGAGTCATTGTCTTTAAAACTCTGCAGGGGTGAATAAATAATTCTGCCTTTAAAAACCTGATAATAAAAAGCCTCTGGTGATAAAACGTTACTGTCCACAGCCGACTGCAGCTGCTCCGTCTCAGTTTCTACTCAGCTGAATGAAAGTGTTCAAACCTGCAACAGACTGAGTTTATTCATGAAACAGAAGCAAAGACAGTCGGACGCAGAGCTGTGACGCTGCGGTTAAAGGAACAGAGGTGAAGTTGTTTCTGATGTGAGTTCAGACCCGGACTGTGAACCAGGACAACGGCTTATATGTCTCTGAAACTGACCAATAATAAGTCCCAGCTCTAAAGCTGCTGGAGGTTTCTACACATCAGTGATGTCTGTGAACACACTGTCAAACTGTAAATCCCAGTTCACTCACTCAGCTAAGGAGTTTAAACAGTGCGCACACAAAGCGTTCGCACGGTGAAGTACTTTAACATGAAAGTTCTGAGCCGTGTCTGACTTTAAATCACACAACAAATAAAGTTTTTTAAGCGTTTAATTCTACATCATATCAACAGGGAGTATATGTTATATGAGATAAAATGTTTCTTTTTCTGTTTATTTATTTATTATAAAGAGAAGAATAAAGTTTGAAAGATTGAAAGTTTCATAACTTTTATTAAGTTGTTTTATGTACAGATTATATATTGGAAGTTTAAAGTCAAATTAACGTAACGTTTTACGTTATTCTGCCGAATCACACGCAAAGATTTATTTGAAAACTTTAATAACAGAATTCATTGATGTTAAGTTGGAATATCTAAGACACATAACACACAGTGTTTGAGGTGTTGACATGCAGCAGGTGTGGAGCTGCTGGAGCCGAGACTACAGAAGTATTTGTGAAGTATTTTCTCATCCTGAGAAGTTTTCAATGATTTTCTTTTTCTAAGTAACTGATATTTAACTATTTAAAACAGATTCACTCTGTTCAGAGTTTTAAAAGTTGAATTTGATGTTTCTCCAGAACATTGATAAACTACGTCTGTCTGTTCCTGCAGCGGCAGGTGTCAGGTGAGGTCCGGATGCAGCCACAGAGCAGCCTCATCGATCCCATCGCCATGGTGATGGCCACATTGGGGACGGGGGTGTCGCTGTACAGCACCAGACGGATGGCAGAGAGGGTCCAACTGAAACTCCCCAACGCCTGAGATCAATGATGACGTCTCTCACTTTGTACGACAGATGAGTCAATGTGAATGTAAATAACTGATGTCACTGTCAGAGCAGGTGTGTGTGTGTGTGTGTGTGAGAGTGTGTGTGAGTGTGTGAGTGTGTGTGTGAGTGTGTGAGTGTGTGTGTGTGTGAGTGTGTGTGAGTGTGAGTCTGTGTGAGTGTGTGAGTGTGTGTGAGTGTGAGTGTGAGTGTGTGTGTGAGTGTGTGAGTGTGTGTGTATGTGAGTGTGTGTGAGTGTGTGTATGTGAGTGTGTGTGAGTGTGTGTGAGTGTGTGAGTGTGTGTGTGTGTGAGTGTGTGAGTGTGACAGATGTTTGTTCGACAGAAGGTTTGAGGAGGTTTGTGATGGCGGGGGACAGAGTTCTTGTGTTTGTGGTGTCGTGGAAGGAAAATCTAAAGTGAGTCGATGTTCAGTGGCTGCAGGAGGAATCTTTTTATTTACGGTCACATATGCAGGTTACCTTTAAGAGGTTGTCACCTTTTAGCAGAGACTGTGTTTTAATGGAATAAACAAGCATCAGCATCTGAGCATTATAGTTTGACCTGCAGCCGTTAATATTTCCTACATTTTATAGTTCAACAAAACACACAGGACACATGTTTAATAAAAATAACCACATAAAATCTAATCATTATTATTCTCACAGCATCGCAGCTTATTGTATTTATTGATTAGTCACAAACTCACTTTTCCCTCAAAACATTTGAGTCAGTCTTTAGGACGGTCGTACTGCGGCACCTTCATGTCTTGAGTTTAGATTGTAAATGCTGCAGGATCATAACTGAGTATTTATTATAACAGTCACAGGAGCTCTTCTCATTCAGTTTAATAAATTCTAACTTTTATTTAATGTTTGTAGCAGATTATTAAAGAAAATGTCTGTAAATGTAAAATGCCACAAAAAAACAAACATTCAAACTGTGCACAGTAACAAAACTTCTTGAATAAATGATTGAGAGTCATGTTGTCAGTATGTGTGTGCAGATCTCTACAGTGACGTTTCAGTCATTGAAGCGGTCTCTGGTTCTCAGGCCCGGTCCACGTGGGTCGGGTCTGTGGGAAACAGAAGGTGTCGGGTGACTGCACAAACTCTACAGAGCGACTCATGTGAATGAAACTCACACAGGCGAAGAGATTTCACCGTGAGACTCCGACATGAACCAGAGGCCGAGATAAAAGTTTTCTGTGTTTATAGTGTGTGTTTCCTCTGGGGTTTAAAGCCTTGCTCAAGGGTCTTTGACAGTGTTGCACCATAACTAACTAACTCTGTCTGTTCTGGGGCCTTGACCAGAATTTAACAACCTCCAAAATCTGCATGGAAACAATTAACTACAATTTGTTATGAACATTGAAGTCCCTCAAAGATTAACATGAACTAATAAAACTTACTAATTAAGAACTGAACAACTTAAAAATGAATATTTAATGTGAAACATGTCGCTGAGCTCTACACAGCGTTTCACTGTCTTTCAGCTCATTGTTTTGGACCTTCATCTGTATCGTCTTGGTTCAGTGTCTTTCAGCTGTTCGTGTGATAAAGGAGAGAAATTTCCCTCTGAACGACCATATAAGTCATTTTCAACCGTCTGATACGACCCACAGGAGCGTCTCCTGAAACAGCGCCCCTATGACGGCAGGTGTACCGGACCTCGGTTGTCATGGTTACCATAATAAACACGCGATTGTGCCGAGATTGGCGTACTAATCGTTGCCATGGTTACTATAGTAACGGTCACTGCTTGGTCAGGTTTAGGAAAAGATCGTAATTTGGGTCAAAATAAGTACTTCCTCAACGTTAAACAATCTCTGTTGTCATGGTTACAACAATAACAACGAACGGCCATGGATGATAGAAACATGGGAATCGAACGCCGCTCTCCATCCACCTCCTCCTGAAGTGGACTTTGTCTCTTTATGCTACGTCACCGACACGTCATCTGCACCACAGCAGTACCATCAATGGTCATATATATATATATATATATATATATATATATATATATATGTGACGTCTTCAAATGTCTTGTTTTGTTTGACTGGACAAACCCAAAGATATTCAGTTTACAGCCAAGCAGTAAATCATCACTTCAGAAGCTGAAACCAGAAAATATTCAGAATTTATTTTACTATACTGTGAAAGTATCAAAGCCTCAGTCCACAGAGAAATGCACACAGCCTGTATTCAGAAACTGAGCCTTAAAACCAGCCGTCAGGACTTCTGGAACTTTGTGATGTCACAACAAAGCAGTCACCAAGCCCCGCCCACCTGGACCCACCATCCAAACCTTTACAGGATTTGGTTTCTCTGAGTGTTTTTACCTGAAATCTGCTATATTTTTATTGGATCGCGCAGACCAATCAGAAGAGAGGCTCAGAGCCTCCTCTCTTCTGATTGGCTCACCGACCTGTTGTTACTAGAGCTCCAGAGAGAAGCCTGAGAGAGGAGATGTAAAACTACACTGAGATGGTTTTTATATCTTCTGATGGATCAACACTTCAAATAAAACACAGAAGAAGAAGAAAATATGGAACTTTTTTAAATGACTGAAATAATTGTCGTATTCTTTTACTTGAGTAAAGCATCTGAATACTTTTACTCTGAAAATCTAGTAGTGATCTAGTTTCCAGCACAGATCCAGTATGAACACAGGTGTGTCCTCGTGCTACCTGGTGGTGGTTGTAATCCTCCGCTCCAGCAGGTGTCGCTCTCTCCCCGGCTGAGCCTCAGATGAGCTGCCTGTAGAGAGGGAGAGGGAGAGAGGGAGAGAGGGAGAGATGGATGTGTGATGATGTGACTTGGTGTGAGTTCTCAGAGTCACGTTAGAGGAGAAACAGAGTCCGGATCAACCAGAGAACAAACCACGAGGTTTTAAATCATCTGAGCGGGAGAGAGAGAGACGCCATGATGATTTAAAATCAACACCTGCTGATGTCACGAGCTCACACCTGTCCGTTCTTCTAAAACTCCGCGTCGTTTTAACATGTCTGGAGAGTTTGGGCGTAAAAGTGCGCGCTGCTGCGTGGCGCACCATCTTTATCTTCATCTTCACCGGATCTAGAGCCGAGCAGGAGCCGAGCAGCAGCCGAGCAGGAGCCGAGCAGGAGCCGAGCAGGAGCCGTCAGAGCGTCTGAAAATGGCTGAGCTGCGTCCCGCCCGGAGCCGCTCCGCTCCGAGGCTCACCGCCGTCTTCTGCGTCTTGCTGCTGGTCTCCGTGTCCGTGTCCTCCGCCAGCCAGGATGTTGTTTCTGGAAACAACGAGACTCGGACACGGAACCCGACCCGGGTCCCCGAGGAGGACCCCCACCACCAGACCAACTCCACGGCTCACAGGAAGGCTTTCCCCGTCCTCTCCTTCAACTACGAGCACGTCAGGAAGCCGTTTGAGATCTCCCTGTGGATCCTGCTGGCTCTGCTCATGAAGCTGGGTGAGTTCACACCTGCTGCCATCCATCAGCCCCCCCCAGGTCTGAGAGAGGAACCTGCTCATTAATTAATTAAAGGTCTGATCCTCCAGATCTCTGTTGTAGAACATTTAGAAACTATAGTCCTGAAAATTTAAAATATTTCGAAGAAAAGAACAGAAACACCAAAAACAACAGAGAAACAAAAAAGACCTAATATTTTTATATATTAAACCAAAATACAGCAGCTGTAGATCCAAGTAGAAACAACTAGAGCTGAGATGATTAGTTTCCAATCCAGCTCCTTTGACAAAAACTTAATTATAAAGTAAAGAAAAGTCTCTGATTTCAGATTCGCACATGAGAATTTTATCATCTCAAAGTAGAATTTATATTTTTGGTCTTTTGGTCAAACAAAACATCTGAAATTTTACCCGGAATTTTTCTGTTTCTGAATTTTTTTTAAAGACCAAACGATTAATCTAGTCCTGGAGAAAGTAATCAGCTGATTATTGATAATGAAAATAATCATTAGAATCAAGCAGCTGCTGTGTGATCGTTCAACTGGAATAAAAACGATTTTTCTCCTTTTCTTCAGAAGATGAAAGAATATCAACGTTTGTTTAATGGTTAATGTAAAAACTCCAAATATTCATTTAAAAGAGCATCGAACCAATTAAACTGAAACTCCTTGAACAACGTCAGATTCATGGTGGACAGGTGAGAAAATATGATCAAAACTAACACAGCAGAACCTTCTTCCTCAGCGCCTACATTACCCACAGTTCAACTCGAGAGCCAACAGTTCAGTTGGGGACTCAGGTGGGATTCAGGTAGTAGCAGCTAATGTAGCCTGAAGCAGCTACAGAGCCAGGTGTGGTGAGATCACTTGGTTCTAACTCGACTCGAGTGACATCACTGAGGTCAGTTTACCTGACACAGGTAAACACTGACACTGAAGGTTTACTACAACTGTTATGACTGGCGTGGTTGGGGTCGAGTTCTAACAGCTGGTTCTGTTTTGGATCCGGTTCCCCGTCGGCAGAATATCCAGATTAATACAAACAAATCTCTTCATGAACCTTTTCTCTCTCCTCTGTTTTTATTTTTTTATTAGAAAACACCGACGTTGAAAACATGCAGGTAACCCATCACCCAACAGGTGATCACAGATCTGAACTGAGTCTGTGACTTTTTAACTTCAGTTACTCTGATCTGATAAAAGGATGAAAGAGGATTCAGGGTCAGATTGGATGATGATGGAGGCGTTGTCCTTTAAACGTGAGAAGGAGTCGGGGCTGTCCTGGTCCCCTGGCTCCATATTTTCTTTGGGTGCTTATTTTTAGCTGCACTGAGGCTGTTTTCCCTCTGCAGAGGAGAGAGAGTTTCCACACCCTGATCCAGAGACACAAACTTATTTTAGTGAGTGTGTTCGGTGTTAACGTGTGTGTGCAGGCCAGAGTCTCCGTTCAGCCTCGAGCAGGAGACAGAGCAGCTGTTTAAATGAATCTCTGTGGAGAGTTATGATCATCCATCTGTTGCTCCGTGACCTTTAGCTCTCACGTAGCTACACACAGGCTAATGCTAACGGTTAGCAACAGGTTATCAACAGGAAACTGGCTCATTCAGCTCGTATCAGACACTGTGTGTGTGTGTGTGTGTGTGTGTGTGTGTGTGTGTGTGTGTGTGTGTGTGTTCAGGCTGTGGTGTCAAACCAGAACATGTGAATCTGAATATAAACTCCAAACATCACTATAAACTACAGTTTCTCTTTATTCATTCAGACCACCGACCTGTTCTTAGTGCCTTAAACCCTGATAGAGCTGCAACAATTAGCCATTAATCGATTAGTTGATTGACTGCACAATAACCCCCCCCCCCATTAAAGGTAAAAACTGCCCAAAATTAGTCAATATAGTCAAAAATAGTCAAATTTTGATAATCAAGTCATAGTTTGTAATTTATTGAACAAAAATGTCAAATACTCTCAGATGTAACACTCTGATATTTGTAAAGAATTGAAAATGAAAATAAAAATTGTGTATCATAAGGTTTTAAACTGGCTGAAACTTTACGACATTACCATGAGCTGCGAATATAAAATCCAATTTCTCACAATTTCTAAACATTTGATGGACTAAGTGATCAATAGAGAAAATAATCAGCAGATTAGTAAAGAAATAAAACAGAAAGCAAGTTATTTGTGCAGAACAGTTCAATCAACTAATCGATTAATGGGCTAATTGTTGCATGCGTCTAAATACCCAGGGTTTAGGGGGCACTAAGACAGGTCGGTGGTCGCGAATGATACAAAGAGAACTGTAGATAGTAATATAATGTTGTATGCATTTGGGACGTTTAATATTCGACTCTCACATGTTCTGGTTTGAACAACCACAGCCTGACAAAGTAACTTCATTCAACTCATCATCCTCACACCCTCCACACAGCACACACACTCATACTTCATAGGGGGTCCGTTTAGAATATCACATCACAGCAGCAAGGGCGGCAAAGGCCCTTACACACACACACAACACACACACACAGGATTTGACAAGTTACTGGATCTCAGTTATCTGGATTACGAGCTGGGACCAGTGAGGCAGTTTCTCTGGGTTGATCTTTAAGGCTAAGGTTCGTGCGGAAAACTCTTCGGTTGATGTCCATTAAAGTAGGGCCCTTGTTGTAGTTAGAGCCTCACGTGGAGGAGTAATAGAGGGTCAGCGGGGAGTCAACAGAGTGGGATAGATCTATACACTCTTCTTCTACTCGCAGTTGCATAAAAATAAACCCAGCTTTGGCTCTGTTCCTCCTTTGGGCTGCCAAGACATTTGGCGTTCGGGGAACTCGGAAAGACTCACTCTTGGCAATAAGACCACATCAAGAGCAAGGAAAGTCTGCAGAAATGCTCACACAAGATTTTTCACACTGAACCGGCGATCGGAACACACTTCACTTAAAATAAGTTTTTATTGGTTCTCTGGGATCAGGGGGTGTGGAAACTCTTCTTCTCTGCAGAGGGGGAAAACAGTCCTCAGTGCAGCTAAAAATAAGCACCCAAAGAAATATGGAGCCAGGATCCAGGACGACCCGACTCTTTCACGTTTATTGAAACTCAACAGGCCTACCATTAGATTTCTTACTATCATCATCCAATCTGACCCTGAATCCTCTTTCATCCTTTTATCAGATCAGAGTAACTGAAGTTAAAAAGTCACAGACTCAGTTCAGATCTGTGATCACCTGTTGGGTGATTGGGTCCCCACTTGCATGTTTTCGCAACGTCGGTGTTTTCCTTAATAAAAAAATAAAAACCAGAGGAGAGAGAAAAGGGGGTATCATGGATAGAGAAATTTGTTTGATATTAATGATCAGGGATATTCTGCCGACGGGAAACCGGGACTCAAACAGAACCAGCTGTCATTCAGATCTACACCTCGACCCCAACTCACGCAGTCCATAACAGTTGTAGTAAACCTTCCAGTGTCAGTGTTTACTGATTTCATAGTAAACTGACCTGCAGTAGAATCGTCAGCTTAAAGCGCACGTGATGTTTAGAAATCCAAGTAAGAACTACCCATCACACACCATTTGGCTCTTGTAAGACATGGCTTGATGCTTTTAGGCTACACTTACGCTCATGCTTTACTTACCTTGGGCCAAGCAAAAATGAGTTAAAGATGTTGAATACCGCACCCTGATTTTGTTAGGCGCCCACAACATGGGGAACACACGTGTTTTTGGCTCTCAATGAGTACTGATAACTGGTGGGTACCATCAGGAGTATAGGATTCGCACTGAGGAAATAAAGGAAACGAGTTTTCTTATGTTAAGTTGATATGATACGTGTTTCTTCTAGGGAATAGGAACTAAAATGTTTGCTCCAACGCTGGCACGAAGTGCTTTTCACTCTGGGTGAAAATATCTTGACGTTGGTTTTTAACACATTGCCATGAAGGAGTTTTCAGGTTTAATTGTTTCGATGTTCTTTTAAAATGAAATATTTTGGAGTTTTTTACAGTTAACCATTAAACAACGTTGATATTCTTTCATCCTTCTGAAGAAAAGGAGAAAATTCGTTGTTTATTCGCAGTCTTGTAATGACAAGGATTTCCAAGCACAACACAGCCCAGCTGGCTTCGATTCATAAATGGAATATATTGCTCTCATCTTAATTTTGTGGAGTAATCTAATAATCAGCTGATTACTTTATACATCCATGTGACATTGGAACAGAAATATAGAACTAATCCGAAAAAGTAATCTTTCGTGGCGTATCTTTCTTAAAAAAAATTCAGCAAGACACCCTGGAAAAAAATTGCCCTGCATGGTTGTGTATAAAAGAAAAGTTTTTCAAGGGATAGTGTTTCTTTAAATTTATTTTTGGTTTTTCGCCAAACCAAGAGTTTAGGGTATCAACGCAGACAAACTAAAATATGTTTCTTAATACACAAAATTTTCTTAGACAACTCCACATTTGAGATGATAAATTCTCGATGTCGCAATCTGAAAGTCAGGACAACATATAGTGGCTGAATGCTAGGCTGCCATTTTCTTTACACTCTGTGTTATAGGATGAGAAAGTGCTCTTTATTGTCAAAGGGCGCTGGGGATTGGGAACTAATCGATCACAAAACACTGAATCCTCCACGCAACTCTAGTTGGCTTATCTTACTCCTGGATCTAACAGCTGCCTACCGGTAGTTTGGATCTTAATGAATATTTAATCAATAAAAAATTTTTTAAAGATCCCTTAGGGGAACTTATAATCTTATTTTTGTCTTCTGCTGCTAACCTCTGTTGTTTTCCTCTGCGCCTGTTTAATTTCTGTTCTTTTCGCTGCAACTTATTTAAGTGTTGAAAAAAATCACAAACAGACAGTGCTTCGTACTGTTCAAACGAAATGGTTTCAGTCTATACAATTGTCTCTAGGCCGGTACCTTAGTCAACTGGGTTGCTAGTAGTGCTTTGGTTTTGTTTCCTCCCTACAACAGATGGGATTGCGCCTCGAGGATCAGGGT